GGAGAGATTAGGGGGAACCAGGTGCCCTGAGCATGACGGGAGTCCCAGTCCCAGCTGTCTGTCCAGCAGCCAGGGCCTCAGGGTAAGCAGGTGAATGACTCATAGGCCACAGCTCTTATGGTCCCCAGGCAGAACGCTGAGTTGTTCAGTGATCTACAGGACAATCTACCTTGGATAGAAATGCTGGTATCAGAAGCACTTGCAGTACAACATAAAGAGAAAATTCACCTTAGCCAAAGATTTACCTTGGGCTTGATGAAAAATCAGCTGGGTAAAAGACATGAGGTGGGAGGTGTGTTAATATAATTTTTCTGGTGTCTTCATCCCCTTGAAGCAAACAGACAAAAATACAATGTAAGCACCCTCTTCAATGGAAATATACCATTTCAGGAATTATAAGTAACAAAAAATATTATGTAGCAGTTATTAATATAATAAATAAATAAGTCCCATAGGGACCATGCTGAACACCAGTGTGGTGAGTATCGAATGTGTCTTTATTCAAATAGTCACAGGTTAAATAGAAGTTTCAAATGATCCCACGTCACACAGGTAACTTTCTAAGCCAATCCCATACAAGCATTCAAGTGAGCTTGTGCAACAGAGTACTTAAAACTACAATTCCCAGAATGCCTCAGCAGCACCTGGTATAGCCACACCCCACAATATTAGACCAAAAAGAAAGATAATTTTCTTTTTTGGTTTGTTTTGGTTTTGGTTTTTTTAAGATGGGTGAGGATCTAGCAGTAATAATGTTTGAAAGCCACTGCTATTGTGTTAGACAATTATATCTTACCTTGAAAAGAGATTCCCACATTTTTCTGAATTGATTCTCACACTCACTGACTTCACCTCTGCTCATGTTTCACTCCCTCATCATGTTAGTAATCCATCGACTTTCCTAGCCTATGTTACTTTTCTGACACAGCAGCTTGCCCTGTCTATCCTCCCCTTCCTCAACCTCCTTACTCCATTGAATGCAAGGGCCCACAGTGTGTCTTTAGTGAAGCAAAAGCACGTGAGGTGTTACTGCTTGAATAGCTTGATCCTTCAGAGTGGTATTGTAAGGGCACAAAGGGACTGAACCCAAACCTTGGCATGACACAGCAGAGAATAAATGTAGAAAAAGTCATGGTCTAGTTCTCTATCAGATCAGCAAGGACATGACTAGCTTTCATTATAGTTTAGGTATTTTCCAACTATTTTTAATCTAGTTCAATAGAGTAATGGTGATGTATTATTATTTGAGGAAGTACCCAGAGAGTTTGTCTTTTCCCTGGAAGCAGGTAGCATCCAGTATGTGCAGAGATTGCTTCTAGACTCAGTAACAACTACCTACACAATCTCTCATCCAAAAATACTACAAAGGTAACAGGTTTTTAAGATTATTAATTTCACCTTCCTAATGAAAAGAAATGGGATACTCAGGTTTACTTCTCAAAGGCCAGTCTGCCTGGAAAGCCTCACTGCAAGGGAAGGCTCTTGTGTGGTATCAGTGTCTGCAAACCCAAAAGCTGCCAGGAAGATGCAATGGGATTCAGCCAGTGAGAACCCAGAATGCAACTCCAAAATCTGGTCTGCATCTAACTGGGGGAAAAGCATCACAGAAGATGTCAGGCTTGATAGACTTTTGCCTGTTCCATAAACGGGGGTGTTTGCTGAAAACACAGTTAATGCAAGAAGGGACATAGGCAGGGGATCAGTAACAACACAGAAAGCTGGTCTGCTATATTACAAGATGCCTGCAAGTATAGATCTACAAGGGACTTTATGTGAATTTCTAGTCCTCACCTTGTACTGCTAAAGTATCAAGGATGATTTTCTTCTCCCTGACAGATGAAATTTCTTTGCAGTCTGTGCAGAGCATCATTCTCCAGTTAAGACTGACCTGCAAACACAGGCTGTAGTAATTAGTGCCTGTGTTTTAGTGTTTTAGGTATGGTGCTCCTGTTGCAGTACACCTGAATAAGATTTGACCATTCTTTTTCCAGCACTGTCACCATGGTAGTTCTCGCTGAGATTGATTCCTCAGCATCTCTTCATGCCAAATCAACGGTTTACCTCCATTAAGTACCTGTGCCTTTGCTTTCTCTTTTCTGAATGCAGTGTTTTCCACTTACCTTGACTGATCTTGGTGTTTGCTCATCTTTTCAATTTGCTCTGTTGTTTCAAATTGTCTTCCCATTTTCTCAAGTACTTTCAGCCCTCTATTCTGGTCCCTTCTTGACTTAGAAGTCAATCATTTATGACATACTATGTGATACTAGTATGTCCAGCAGTGCTAAGAACAATGTAGAATATGCCCAGGACTCACCACTAGGGGATACTGCTTTAACTGATCTCCCAAATTTGCTGTCACCCAGTATATGCAGTTTGGTCATGAGCATGCTATTGCAACTGAGTTCATAACATCCATGCAAGCAAGTGAATATGCTTCTGAATGCCTCTGGTAGCTGTTATATGAATCTACAGGAGCAAAAATCTACTTTCAGGACTTTATTTCATTTCTCTAACCACATTTGGACATTGCCATCTCCACATACAAAGCCACACATTTCTGTCATTTACATTGTCTCCTTTCTGTCCAGGTAGAACCAATAAGCTTTAGAAGAATGAAACAGAAAGTATTTTATTATTCCCTGGTGTATCTTTTATTTTTCTTTGTTATCTGCTAAGGAGATGAATCTATAAATTGGGTGTGGTTTTTCCTGGTTTTAATTCAACTGTAGTTAAAGAACTTCATTATGCTTCTTTTTCCAAAACAGGTGGATGAAGTGTAATTGGTCCCTAGACAGGTCTGAAATACTGCGTCCACAGTGCCAGATAGGAATGGCAGTACAATATCATTGAGTACAGTAGTGTCCCGCACCATCACTCTTGACAATCCCACTCTCTCAATAGAACCATTTTCAAGAACGACACTGACAAACAGGAGGAGTTCCGAAGGACAATCACGAAGATGAGAAGGCTCAGGGACAACCTCACAACAGTATTTCAGTAGTTAAATGGCAGCAACAGAGGATAGAGGTTGTCTATTCAGGAGGAGCCATATGGAGAAGGTAACAGGCAGAGGGTTCACGTTGCATCACAAGAGGTTTCATCTTAATATAAGAAAAAAATTTTCACAGGGAGAATAATCATACACTGGAACAACACCTCCAGGAATGTGGTAGAGTCTCTCCTCAGCACTGCAGGTTTTCAAGATGCAATAATCTCATCTAGGCACCCTTTCTCACAAAAGGTTGGACCAGCTCATTTCTCAAGGGCTCTTCCTTCCTGGGCTGTTCTCTGTTCCTATAAAACCAGTGACTCTGAGGGAATCTTTACTATTGACACCAACCCATAATCTGAAATCCATCCTGATATTTTCCATTCAGAGTGATTAAAATCCTTAAGAATCCTGATTCTCATTCCTTTCTTTCTACTCCCTTTAGCTCCGATCCAGTTTGTGCTGAAACTATGGAAGACATCCTTTGGCATTGCGTTTGTGTCACATCCATATTTTCACTATTGTTTTTTTCTATGAAGTTTCTTGATTTGAAACATTTCTGAAGAAAAAAAAATAATCTGCACAGAAAATAATTATAAAATAGTCTAGAAAGATGGGGTTTGGCTACAAAGAAAAGGAGCATTTCCTTCCAGGTGACAGCTACTGGAACAGCGCTGGTGAATTTTTGGGAATGTGATTAGTTGACATGTTTTTCAGCAACTAGGTGTAGCCAAAGCCAGCCAAAGATCTGACCAGAAGAAAGAGCCATCACTGTCGTTATAAAGACCACTGAAAGGTGTTTATTAAATTCTAAGATGCTTTGATAATTTGATTGAATTTTCTAGTATAGAGCATTCAGGTTATCAGAGTGTGCCTCAAGAAGTTCTTGTTCTAACCATAATTCTAACCACTTTTCAGGCTTTACAGTACACTTCATACTTTAACTTTTTTCCCAGTTTAGTTCCTCCTACATATTCTTCAAATGCTTTGTCCATTTTCTC